TTGTGTTCGCTTGTTCGTTTCCATCGCCCTCATTGGCAACCCTTCCCCGCCGTCAACACGATGGGCGCCACCAGGATTCCCTGATCAGGTCCGGGAGGGCGGAACGTCATAAGGAATTCTAGGGAAACGGCGTGCGTGTGCCTACCCAACCTAGGAATATATACATATAAATAAATATGTCAATCAATACACACATACATAAATCACAGAACAAAAATACAATCAACAAAAATAGATAGGGCAAATGAGGGATACACAATCCAAGCGCATCTATTTGGGGCACGTACCCCAGGGGCCTGTAGTCGCTTCCCTGGAAAGGAGGGTTACATTCAAAACAGCATAGCTTGGCAGGGTTCAGGTGAACCTCAGAAAAACAAATCTGCAGTGGCTTTACTTCGCCAATCTGGGGGCTCTGAGAAGCGGTGCCTGTCAACATCCGGTATTAACCCCAAGCTGTTGCCTGCGCAGCGTTGCATGCTGATCATGTGAGACACAAGGAAGCCTATGCTCCCATGCAATCTGTCCAGAGTGACCTTGAGCTATCAATGGCATCTTGCTGTGCGTGATGGCGGATTCAAAATTCAAAATGGAAGCGCGCATGCCGTGAGGAACATGTTCCAAAGCCTCATACTGCAGGAGTTGTGGGTACGTTAAATCCAAGTCATGACCCTAGTGTGTTGTCATTTAGCCCCTTCCTCTGGCAACCCAAAAGGCAACCAAGAACCAACACGTTCGCACTCGATGTGCTCGCCTTTGGGCCTCTGACCGGGAGTGTCACAACACAGGGAACCTCTATAAATGGTTGGTGTTCCTTTGATGTCCGCTGCCAACCAAACCATTAAAAAGGTTGCCCGAGGAAAAGAAAAAAGAAGAAAAACAACAACATGCCAACTTTGACCGAGCCATCACGGCCATGCGCAAGATGCCCAAACATCGCGCACAACAGAGCGGCGTACTTCAATATTGCCTGCTCAGCTTGACGCTTGGCTGGAGCCATATGTTGCTTGGAGAAAAATGAAATTCGGAACACGTGAGAAAAGAGATCTGACCCCAAGGCCTGCAGGACAAGCTTCGAACCTTACCTCGAAACCTGCGAGTAAATCTAGGGCTGCGAAGTCTTATGGCTTGCAACCATTGCAATCCCGATATTTCGAGCCCCAGCCCTCAAGACTCGCGCATGAAACGCAAACTCGAGCCACCTAGCGACAAACTTTCTGCCGGGCAATATCCGGAACAGTAAAACCTATGTGCGTGCGGCTCAAAACTCAAGAGCTAGGGTTACGCAGGCTTAAGTCTTTGGTTCCATTTATTAAGGTACCATGTTGGTACATGTTGTTGAGCCACAGTCATGTCAAGCCCGATCCAGGTCAATTCTAAAATCCCGAACCAAACTCTTATCCTCCTCACGAATTCCGAACAATCCGCAAGCTCTTCAATGTCAAATTCACGCGCTTCTGCCTCAGCTACACATGCATGTCTGATTGTTTGACTGAACAGCTCAAAGAGCTTCCCTCTCTCCAATGATGGAAGCGCCCAGGAGAGGTTTGGAAGACCATGTTCTCTTGCAAAGGACCTCGTCCACTTCCATGAGTGTTGGACAACAGGTCTTGGAATCAGCTTGGAACTCCAGAAGACCGGCAAGTTGACGTCAGTTCACCAAAGCCCGCACTTTCAAATTTATGAAAACCATTGGATCGAGCACTTCCATTCCTGGATCCAAGAGCATTTGCATTGTCCCCAAACCACCACCCATGTCTAGCCTCGATATGGCCACTGCCATAAAGGTTATATGCCTACATCCATTCAATTTGTTGGGGCAGTGGATGGTGGAAGTCCTCCTTTGGGTCCCTTAGAGTAAACGTTTTGAGGACTTCTCAAAATTCGAAGAAAAAAGAAGAAAAACAAACTTCTTGCTGAGTGGGAAAATCGTATAAGTCAAAAGGGTAAAGGTCGCGCTTTGAGAAAATCCTGGGCGCCCGTGCCACTGCGAGCGGCCTTGGAGCAGCACAAAGAAAGACATGGTGAGATCTGAACCCCTCCCCTCCCCCACTCCAAAACAAGGCCTTGCCGGCTATGGGAGGGGGGGGGGGGGGATGGATCCCATGAATTTGAATGAGGCAAAAGCAAAGGCGTGCATCACGTCCACACTCCGAAGGGTTGGACATGAGTTGACGCAACACTCGGACTGCCTTTGAAACCCTTGGGGTTGCTCATGGGACTCCTGGCACCGAGCAAGTCCCGATAGAAATGCAAACCAAAAGTTGCCCAGAATTTCCACTCAGTTATGACACAAACATGGCGACTCACACATAGATGGTGGATAGAAGAACGCAAAACAAACTGGGAAAGTGGAACCAGAAGCAGGAAACACGGCCTTGAACTTCCCAGAGTCTGGAAGCTGCTCAGGTTTTCGTGACAAGCGCATACTCTGCCCTGCCTTAGCCCATGTGAAACTCCCACATGATTAAAAAAACAATCGCACACCTTCGCTTCACAAACATGGCACAAAACTCCATGGGCTCAATGCATTCCCCTCATCTCAATTGTCAATTACATATGCCCTTTGGCTCTGAAGGGGGGGGGGGACATGTTCCCTCACTTCCTGGGTGGTTTGGCAAAATCTTGTTTGCCACTGCAATTGTCCTCCCAGGCAGCCCGGTCCTGCCTTTGCGAGTCATCCATGCCGCTAATGAAAGCAGCAATGAAGACTGGAACACCATACCTGGGCACAACACATCTGCCTGGATGGTTTGAGCCCCATATGGGTCTGTCTCTGAATGAGGGAACCCCAAGCTTGGTTGGTTTCGCTTTGGCTTCTTGTTAAATCGAACCCAAGGAGGATACCAAGCCTCCAAATAACACACCCATATGGTTACCATGACGGCCCAGGCACAAACATCCAGATCTGGAGCCCTCGACATGAAAGTTCCGCCTGGCCCTTTGGGTTGTTGAAAATTGGGTCTATACTACAAGGGAAACCACTACCGATTAATGATTGGCGCAGCTTTGCTTCCTTCAAATGGCGCCCTTTGACCAAAGCACTCCCTGCAAGCCCATGTTGGGATCTGCCAATACGAAGCACATGACGAAGTCTAATTTTCGGGGTTTTTTCGCGCATACTGGAGAGGCGGTTCGTGAAATGCGGATGAAGCTTTGCAAAGTACATATGCAGGCCAGGCACACACACACACACAAACGCAAAGCAATGCAACACTGCAAAACGCTGTGCTCAGCGAACGAACAGGCTGTCTCAGGCAGATTTCTTGTTCTCGAAAGGGAAAGCCTGCAATCGAATGCCAATCCAAAAGTACAACAACACAAGCTTGTTGGCCAGTGATATGTCCAGGAAACTGTGGGCGGACTCTGTCCCTACCTTGTTGGAAAATGTATGGATAACGCTCATGCCAATTGTAGCTAGTTCCTTTTAGAGGTATGGTCCCCGGGTTTTCCGATTGAGGCACACGTCAGCCACAGACAACATCACTCGCTCAAGCAAGAAAAATGTATTGTGTTTGTTTGTGTTGCACATTGGGCGAGGGTTTTTTAGCTGGGTTCTTTATCCCTACAAAAATGGGGAGCAAAGTGGCCATCTGGCTACCATCAAAAAGGTGAGGTTTTCCGACCGAGGAGAGCTCCAAACAACCCGCCTCTAAGCAAACCACCTCCAAGAAACCAGCCCTCACACCTTCTCAATAACCCACCTCAACCTCCAAAACAACTTCCCAACAAAATGAAGAGAGAGAGAGAGAGAGAGAGAGAGAGAGGGAGAGAGAGAGAGAGAGAGAGAGAGAGAGAGAGAGAGAGAGAAACAGCTTCTGGTTTACCAGAGCCACAAACCGGGCAGCCTCCCCCCAGCGGTTGCCCGCCAGGGATCAACAACAAAATGAATCTCTTCCCCCGGCAACTTCGGCTGCACGTCCGTCGGGCCCCGGGCAGCGCCAGCGCCGAGGTGCCGCCCAGGCCCAGCAGCGCCGCGGCGGCGCGCTGCCAGGGCCTCAGAGCGGGCGGGGGATCCGTATTGGTTGTGTATATGTGTACATATGTACAGGTATATGCATACACATGTATGTATATATATTATATATATATATGCCTATATGCCACACACCCCTTTTCCCAAAACCTACCAAAGGTACAAGTTGCTGTGTATTGAGATTCAAGACTCCGCAGACTTTTTCTTCGGAATCTTGAATCTTGGGAAACCAAATTCAATTTGCCCAAATGCATTTCCTTACGTGTTCCGAATACGGTAAATACTTTGTTGAGGGGAGGAACGATGATCTGACAACAGCTGAAAAGTACATTGTCTCAATGCGTGTCTTCGTCAGACCACGTTGGTTCGCTTGGTGCAGTTTGTGCTTCCACAAGAAATAGATAAGGGCAACTAACCTTTTGAAATTGAAGCTGATTTCAGTTGCAATTGCCAGTTTCAATGGCTGTCCTCTCCCGAACTGAGCGCCTTTTAGGTCGAACAAGAAGGGCCTCTATGTCAAGAAAACGTCTAGAAAAGAAGTGCGCGTTGGGTTTCGTAGCCGGGTCAATCCCCGGAATGGCCGCTCGGTGCAACCGTTGCGCTGGGTGAGCCTGCCGGCTACAAAGGGCCAAGCTGTCCAGTGCCGCGCTGCGTGGATTGGAGCCCAGACTAAAAGCCCAGTAAATCAAGCCCAAACAGCTCACATGGCTTGCGAATTTCAACACACCTGCTTCAACAACGGCCGAACTTGAAGTCTCCAGGGTCTCCCCTTGAAAAAAAGACATCCCGCAAGACTTGGCTCCGGCCGCGAATGGCTTTCACCATTCGGAGAGAGAGAAACCTGGTGCTACTTGCCGCAGCCCGAAGCAAAACGAGCGAGCCGCCGCGCACATTTTGCTGAAACACGCCCAGAGTATGGAAGCAAAGCCAATGCCTCTTGTGGCCATAGGGAGAAAAATAGATACTCCCCTGCAAGCCAACGGAAGGAACCCAAAAAAAGTGCCCTTTCCTGGAGCTTCTTCTAGAATGCCAATTTGTTGGGTTCCCTCAGTAAATCAGGGGAGGAGGGGACATCTTCAAAGGGTTTGTTCCCCAACTCAACTTGCGCCCAAGTCCTCTCCGCTTCTCAGTCCTCCTTCTTTCCCAGGCGGCCGAAGGAGAAGGACATGCCGGCGCCCACCACGAAGGCTCCGGCGATGGCGTTGCCGATGGTCACCGGGATCAGGTTCTTCACCTGAGCCGCACGAAAGGCAAACGATGTGCAAAGCTGAGGAAAGTTCGGGCAAGCTCAAGACCCGTTTGCTTCAGCGACGGAATTACCAGAAAGAAGAACGACGATTCAAGCAATTTGGACGGCGGAGAGTCTTACTCATTGCCAAGAACCAGATCTCACCCCGCCCCAGCATGTCTGCAATGCTTCTTTTCATGGGCCCCAAACTCGGGCCAGCAATATGCGTCAACATACGTAACAGCTGTTACTTTGAGATGTGAACATCCGGACCTAGGAGGGGTGATTCCCAATACGGCGCCTCTGGTTGGCTAGTGGCTAGTTTTGCAGGGCCAGCCCAAAGACAACCAAGAGCCCGTATGGCCCCCGCCCATCTAGAAATGGGTTTGTCTTAAAGTTGAATCCCGGATCCCCATTTTACAAGGGGGTTTGTGCCCAGCCCTTAACCCGCCCCCCCACCTTTGAGGGATTCACAGTGTCCTTGGGTTTACCTGAAAACCACCCCAAAAAGCTTTGGTATCCTCAGCCCTCTACACCACCCCACTTTTTCTCAGCCCTGGGCACTTAGTCTGTGCAGACCAAACCCCAACAACCCTATACCCAAAAAGAAGGTTGCAGAATAGACCCCCCAAGTGTCCACCAAGCACCCAAAAATAAAGAGAGCTTTGGGACCCGCTGTCTTCCTAGCAGGCTGGGGTCAGCCAACTCTGCAAACCTTTGTCTCAAACCACTATTTGGCTGTGGGTCAACTCTCTCCGCTTCTCACTTCGGGGGGGTTCCGAGGCGCCAGGACATCAGCCCAGCTCAAAGGCGCCCCCGAGAAGATCCCGGCGGGCAGGATGAACATGTTGGCCACGGAGTGCTCGAAGCCGATGGCGATGAACATCGAGATGGGGAACCTCACCACTTCGGGGAGGGAAACAAATAAGGCGCGAGTTCAACCCCGCGAATGGCTTCGAACGCTTCGGGGAGGGAGGAAAAAATCCGCGAGTTCAACTGGAAAAGCGCATGACGAAAACACCAACATAGGTGGCACGAAGAGGAAATCCAATCGAATGAGAACTTTGGCCTACCCTGGCTTGTTAGGATCGCCATCCCCGCCCAAAAAGAAAACTGGGAACGGCCAACATGGAAATTGAATGGCTTTGCTCAGTCGTTCAGAGTCGGCCTTGGGCCTACCCGGCCGAATGTTGGGGCCGACCATCCAACCATTCTCACTCACTCAGTTAGAAAATGATGTAGAAACACTTTCCTATGGAAACACGCGGGCATGGAGCCTCAAATGGTTCCATGTTCAGGGCACAAGGGTAACAAGTTTGGTGCCAAAGAACGCCCAAGTGCAACCCTGATCATCTCTTGCAATGGATTACCCGTCCAAAGCAGTTCGGATTTCGCCCCCCCGCCGGCGCGTACACAATGAGGGAATGAACCTGGGATTCCCCTTGAAGGAAACCACACGGGATGTTTTTTTTTCGGGTCTGCCGAGCACCAGCCAGTTTGTTGGTCTTTTTCTTCGAGGCGCCACACTCCCACCATCTTGCCCGTGAGGTCCTTCGCCATGGTGCAGAGCCACACCGCCATGCAGACCAGCCAGTTGCACATGATGCCTTTCACCTCGCGGCAGTTTCTGGCGGGCCCTTGGGGGTCCTTTTAGGTACCTGGCCCAAGCTAGGTTCCCATAAACGGGTCGAATGCAGTCAACCAAAAGGACCATCATGTCTGTCTCAAAGGAACCAGTTGCACGAACCCATTTAGGGTCAGCGCCCCTTAAGGCTTGCTTCAGAAACCACCGAAATAACAACCCGCCATTGAAAAGAAGGATCACTGGAAAGAACAGCTAGAACCTTTGAACCAGTAGGCGGGGCAGCGGAACCGAGAAATCCGAAGCTGCGGGATCAGCCCTTCAGCCGTGGGGAAATGTCTCATACAAAGCGAGCCCGTAAGTTAACAAGAAGACCAAATGTTTTGGCAGCTCATTGTGAAACCCCAAACCACCAAGAGAAAACAACACCGCGGTGAATGAACTGGCGTTCCCATTCCCTCCAAAATGTCTGGGAAAGTGGTGTGAAGAACCGCGGGTTCTCCTTGGAACAAGCCCTGATGTGTTTTGGCCCATATACCGAACAGGGACCGTTCGAACGAAAGCATCTTTGCGCCGATCGAGTGGGTCTTTAGGCGAACTTCCTGTTGAATGTCCCGATTACGCTGTAACTGGGGCCTCTTGAGGTTCAACAAAAATGGACAAGAATCTAACATCTGGGTATGCGGTAGAATAGGGAAACTTCCAGAATAGTGGCTGTCCCTTTGGTTTCTCACTGGGGTGCCCCCTACACTTTTTGTTCCCTTTGATTTCTCCTCAAACCACCAAGAAAAGGCAGTAATTTCCCTGTGTACCCTCAAAACAGCTCAAACTTGGTTTACAATGGAAACCGCCAGAAAACCCGCAGGTTTGGGGTGCATCTATTTAGCCCACACTGCAATTTGGACCAAGATCAAACCTATGTCTGGTCGAGTCGCCACCGTCTGGCCGAAGGTGGACCCGCACTTCTTCATCACGGTGTGCACCGCCATGTCCGCGGCGCCGGCGCTGAACATTCCGGTGTACCTCCCACCACTTTTGGCCCAGACAGAAGCGGAAGTACGCGGGTGTGTGTTTGTTTGAAAGTACCTCTGTGGGGTTGCTTTAAAGGGGAGCTCAGTAGTCACAAACATGGAACCCTGGCTTTGCATCTCCGGCTAAGGTATCTCCAGCAATCAGGGTTTCTTATTGTGTATGTCCCCCCTAAATTACCACCCCACCAACAAACAAAATGGACAAAAGTGATGCTTGAACCATCCAAAATGGAACCAAAAAGAACCCTCGCCAAAACTAAACCCGGGCGTGGCGTTCTTTTTTGCTTCGCGCGCCTGGCCACCGCGTCGATGAGCAAGCACCCGATGATGTTGCCCACGTAGGCGATCGCCCAATTGCGCATCAGCTGCTTCAACGTCACCTGCGCTTGCCGGGATGATCACAAAGGAGGACGGCTTGCGGCCACTACACGCAACGCCAGGACTTCCAACCAAAGGGCGCCCAACTTTGCCAGGTCCCTGAAGCTTTGCTCTTGGACTCTTTACGGGGACTGCGAAATGTCTCAACCTGCCCACGAGTTCTTTCGGACTGCACTGTGTCGGCTTGGCCAACAGGGAAGCCGACTGGAGGCCGAATCCCCAGAGCGCTTTCGATCTTCTGTAGCATATACGTGCTCGTCTCTGTCGATTGTATACCATGGAAACTGGACAACTTATAGCAACTCACACACCCCAAACCAGAAATGGACCCGACCTGGGCGAGAATTTGCAAAGCCCTGTGTGCGAGGTTCCTTTGTCCAGATGGAATGTGGTTTAGGGCTGGGTTGCCCGGCCCCTCTTTGGGGCCTACTCAGATTGGCACACAGCCGTATCAGCATGGGCATAGGTGCCCTTATGGCGGAATCCAGATGCGTTCAACCGATAGGGTGACATCGCAGGTGGGCGCTACATCTGGGATCGACATCGACCGAGATTGACAGCTCGTTCGACTGCGACGAGGTCACGTGCGATGGCTGTGCCAATCTCCGCCGGCCTGTTGACCTCAGCTGGAGTCGGAGCACCAGGGATCGCCTTGAAGTAGACCGCGGTGGCATCAGCGTCGTCGCTGGTGAACCCGCAGATCCGTTGCACCATGCGCTGGATAGTCACTGGACTGTAGCTTGCGCTGCCCATCTCTTCGATCCTCGCGGCATTGCGCATCCGGATCGCATCAGTGAGGTTGCTCATCTCTTGAGGGTTGACGCTCCTGCGAGTCAGCGTACTCACGATGAACGATGCAGCGGATTGACGGATCTCGTAGCGGCTCGGGTCTTCTGCCCAATGCCGCGAGCCGGCGAAGGCTCCCTCACAGTAGTAGCGGTCGTCGGTCATCCACGGCATTGACGCCCTGGAGCCGGCCTCGGTCATCACCGTATCAGGAGATGACAGCGACACTCAACTGCAATGAGGTCGCATGGACCGTGTCCGACACAGACGATGGTGTAATCGCTGGCGTCAGGACAGTCAACAGCCACGGGTACATAGGTTGCGCTACGGTTGGATCGCAGATCCGAGTGGTGTCGATCACGCATGAGGAGATCAGGCAGATGATGATGAAGCAGGAGCTCGGCCCTGCTCACTTCCTGAGCGGCTGGGTCAAATTCTTAATTTGCCACGAAAAATGTGTTCCCACAAAGTATACAAAGTCCAGGAACTCAGGGAGTGAGCCTGACAGGACACCTTTGATACTGGGTGCATACAGTATTGACCGGCACTTTGGTCTGGAGCTATGCTAGTGGTGGTTGTCTTTTTCTCCACCACGCAGAGTTTGGGTGCTTCCTATAAATGAGGTACCCTGTGAAAAGTGCGTTCAAGGGAAAGAATGGTACCGTAACAGTTTGCGGACCCGACTCGAACTCACAAGCAAGCCTGGCCATAGGGCCATAGGTTGGACCCTTTCTTGGGGCGAAGCCAAGAGGAAACCGAAAAGCAAACCAAAGGTGGGTGCGCACGTCTTTTGGAGGCAGCCCCTTGTTGCGGTTTGGTTTCTCGAACCGGAAAACGCTGCTCCCTTTTTCCGGGTTTTTCCCCCGTTCATGGGTGTGTCCTTGTGTGGCTGTTTTTGTCAGGTGCTCCGCCCCCCAAAGATTGGGGCCTTCTTCTCAAAGACCCCCACTGCCATGGTGGCCGAGTTCCCGGTGAAGAGCTGACCCCCCGTCTGCAGCACCAGCAGCAGGTTGATGGGGAACCTCGCGTACGGGGAGGCACTTGAAGAAGACTGGGTGTGAACCAAAAGAGAAGGCGTGTCTTCTTTCAGGAAAACCTTTTCGCTGGCGGGGGGTTCTCCGATTTTCTGAGAAAAACCCAAACCTCGGAAAGCCTCAGAACTCGGAACGATCGGATCGGAACGAGTCAGGTCGCAGGAGGTACCCCCGGAGGAAGCGAAACCCGAAGATGGAACCAGGCGAATGGCAGCCCTGGATTTAAGGGTGTCTCATTTAAGAGATCTAGCAGGGCATCCTTCCTTTACTAGTTTCCAAGCTGGAATTTAAAGAACCCCCGCCCCCAGCACCCCGCAGCCCTCGCAGAACCTTGTGGAACCCTGGTGGAATACTGGTGGAACCCTGGTGGAACCCTAGTGGAACCTTACCTCAGGGCTGCCCCGGACCAACCCGGAGCCTATCTGGGCTGAGACCCCAAAGCTTTCAGCTGTTGGGGAAAAAGCAAAAAAAACTCAAGTGATATCCACAACAGCATGCGGTGCTCTGTTGAGTGCTCGCACCACCTCCGCAGCCCTCGCAGAACCTCGTGGAACCCTGGTGGAACCCTGGTGGAACCCTGGTGGAACCCTGGTGGAACCCTAGTGGAACCTTACCTCAGGGCTGCCCCGGACCAACCCGGAGCCTATCTGGGCTGAGACCCCAAAGCTTTCAGCTGTTGGGGGATAAAAAAGCAAAAAGAAAACTCAGGTGATATCCCCAACAGCATGCGGTGCTCTGTTGAGTGCTCGCACCACCCCCGGAGCCCTCGCAGAATTTCGTGGAACCCTGGTGGAACCCTGGTGGAACCCTGGTGGAACCCTAGTGGAACCTTACCTCAGGGCTGCCCCGGACCAACCCGGAGCCTATCTGGGCTGAGACCCCAAAGCTTTCAGCTGTTGGGGAATAAAAAAGCAAGAAAAACTCAGGTGATATCCCCAACAGCATGCGGCGCTGAGTGCTCGCACCACCCCCGCAGCCCTCGCAGAACCTCGTAAAACGAACCCTGGTGGAACCCTGGTGGAACCCTAGTGGAACCTTACCTCATGGCTGTCCCGGACCAACCCGGAGCCTATCTGGGCTGAGACCCCAAAGCTTTCAGCTGTTGGGGAAATAAAAAAGCAAAAAAAATCAAGCGATATCCCCAACAGCATGCGGTGCTCTCTTGAGTGCTCGCACCACCCCCAGAGCCCTCGCAGAATTTCGTGGAACCCTGGTGGAACCCTAGTGGAACCTTACCTCAGGGCTGCCCCGGACCAACCCGGGCTGAGACCCCCAAGCTTTCAGCTGTTGGGGAATAAAAAAGCAAAAAAAACTCAGGTGATATCCCCAACAGCATGCGGTGCTCTGTTGAGTGCTCGCACCACCCCCGCAGCCCTCACAGAACCTCGTAAAACGAACCCTGGTGGAACCCTGGCGGAACCCTAGTGGAACTTTACCTCAGGGCTGCCCCGGACCCCGGAGCCTATCTGGGCTGAGACCCCAAAGCTTTCAGCTGTTGGGGAATAAAAAAAGCAAAAAAACTCTGGTGATATCCCCAACAGCATGCGGTGCTGGGGGCTCGCACCACCCCCGCAGCCTCGTGGAACCCTGGTGGAACCCTGGTGGAACCCTGGTGGAACCCTGGTGGAACCCCAGTGGAACCTTACCTCAGGGCTGCCCCGGAGCCTATCTGGGCTGAGACCCCAAAGCTTTCAGCTGTTGGGGAATACAAAAAGCAAAAAAAACTCTGGTGATATCCCCAACAGCATGCGGTGCTCTGTTGAGTGCTCGCACCACCCCCGCAGCCCTCGCAGAACCTTGTCGTGAAACGAACCCTGGTGGAACCCTGGTGGAACCCTGGTGGAACCCTAGTGGAACCTTACCTCAGGGCTGCCCCGGACCAACCCGGAGCCGATCTGGGCTGAGACCCCAAAGCTTTCAGCTGTTGGGGAATAGAAAAGCAAAAAAACTCAGATAATATCCCCAACAGCATGCGGTGCTCTGTTGAGTGCTCGCACCACCCCCGCAGCTTTCAGCTGTTGGAGACAAGCAAAAAAAAACCTCAAGTGCGGTGCTCTGTTGAGTGCTTGCACCACCCCCGCAGCCCTCGCAGAACCTCGTGGAACCCTGGTGGAACCCTGGTGGAACCCTGGTGGAACGTGGAACCCTGGTGGAACCCTGGTGGAACCCTAGTGGCACCTTACCTCAGGGCTGCCCGGGACCAACCCGGAGCCTATCTGGGCTGAGACCCCAAAGCTTTCAGCTGTTGGGGAATAAAAAAGCAAAAAAAAAAAAAAGAAGCTCAGCTGATATCCCCAACAGCATGTGGTGCTCTTTTTAGTGCTCGCACCACCTCCGCAGCCCTCGCAGAACCTCGTAAAACCCTGGTGGAATCTTGGTGGAACCCTGGTGGAACCCTAGTGGAACGTTAGCTCAAGGGCTGCCCCGGACCAACCCGGAGCCTATCTGGGCTGACCCCAAAGCTTTCAGCTGTTGGGGAATAAAAAAGCAAAAAGAACACTAGGTGATATGTTCAACAGCATGCGGTGCTCTGTTGAGTGCTCTCACCACCCCCGCAGCCCTCGCAGAACCTCGTGGAACCCTGGTGGAACCCTGGTGGAACCCTGGTAGAACCCTGGTGGAACCCTAGTGGAACCTTACCTCAGGGCTGCCCCGGACCAACCCGGAGCCTATCTGGGCTGAGACCCCAAAGCTTTCAGCTGTTGGGGAAGAAAAAAAAGTGCTCGCACCATCCCCGCAGCCCTCGCAGAACCTCGTGGAACCCTGGTGGAACTCTGGTGGAACCCTGGTGGAACCCTAGTGGAACCTTACCTCAGGGCTGCCCCGGACCAACCCAGAGCCTATCTGGGCTGAGACCCCAAAGCTTTCAGCTGTATAAAAAAGCAAAAAGAAAACTCAGGTGATATCCCCAACAGCATGCGGTGCTCTGTTGAGTGCTCGCACCACCCCCGCAGCCCTCGCAGAACCTCGTGGAACCCTGGTGGAACCCTGGTGGAATCCTGGTGGAACCCTTGGTGGAACCCTAGTGGAACCTTACCTCAGGGCTGCCCCGGACCAACCCGGAGCCTATCTGGGCTGAGACCCCAAAGCTTTCAGCTGTTGGGGAATAAAAAAGCAAAATAAACTCAGGTGATATCCCCAACAGCATGCGGTGCTCTTTTCGGTGCTCTTTTTAGTGCTTGCACCACCCCGCAGCCCTCGAGAACATCGTGGAACCCTCGAATCCCTGGTGGAACCCTGGTGGAACTCTGGTGGAACCCTGGTGTCACCCTGGTGGAAGGTGGAACCTTGGTGGAACGCTGGTGGAACCCTGGTGGAACCCTGGTGGAATCCTGGTGGAACCCTCGTGGAACCTCACCTCAGGGCCGCCCCGGACCACCCCTGAGCCTATCTGGGCTGAGACCCCAAAGCTTTCAGCTGTTGGGGAAAAAAACTAAAAAACTCAGGTGATATCCCCAACAGCATGTGGTGCTCTTTTTAGTGCTCGCACCACCCCGCAGCCTTCGCGAAACCTCGTGGAACCCTCGTGGAACCCTGGTGGAACCCTTGGAACCCTCGTGGAACCTTACCTCAGGGCATCCCGGACCACCCCGTAGCCTAGCTGGGCTGAGACCCCAAAGCTTTCAGCTGTTGGGGAAAAAACTTTTAAGGCCACAAGTAAACCCCCTTGTTTGGATTCCGATGCATCTCTTCGCCCAGCAGCAGTGCCGCGAAGATTGCTTTCTGGTTGATGAAGTTGCTGGTGATGTTGCCCCCAACCATCAGCGACAGCAGGCCCGCCATGCCCACGTAGGCGCCGCCCATGACCCCGGCGTGCAAGGTCTTGACCCAGGGCTGGTCCCTGGAAGGCACGGCCGGTCCCTGGGTGCCCAAAAGGGGAAGCGAGGTTCTGAGGAAAAAGAAAAAGGTTGGTGCAGAAGGTTGGTGCAAACGGTTGGTTGGTACACACCGGGTCTGGAAGAACAAAAATCCCATTTTGGTTTCCTTGATGGGTGCAGGCTTCACGCGGGTGTCACAGCTCGCGCAACGCTTCAAGGCGTCTAAACAGCCAGCACAAAGCGGTGTCTGGGAAGCCTATCTTCTGGGCTGCCTCGAACAGCATTGGGACCTTGCTGAAAAGGGTGCAATCAACGCTCAAAGCGGCTGTTTTCCAACTACTAAGAATAGAGATGCGGCTTCTACCCCGGCCATTGCCTATGGAAGCTTTGGTTTGGTATCTTGGAGGGCAGTGGGTATCGTCCCACTCAGCTTCAACAAATAGGGCTTCAAATCCCCACTCAAATCCAAACCAACTGAGGGGTTCCTGAATGACCGACACTCAGAAACCACCCAAGCACCTGAGGTACTCCGCCTTGTCCACCATCTCCTGGCACCGACTCAACCACTTGGGTATGTGGGTTCCCCGAAAAACCACCATATTCAAAGAAACACCCAATTCTTTCTAGTATTCTACGGAATTCCTTAAAGGGTACACCCAAAAACCACCTTCACAAAGGAATCCTCGAAATCAGCGCGCAGTGCTCATATTTTGACTGGCTCAAATGTATCCTTTAAGGGACCAAGCTTGATTATGAATTATGTCCAACCATCATGGTTTCCAACACCGGCTTTGCTGCCCCCCAACCAGTGTCATATAGCCTCACTTCGGATTCTCTATATGAGGTTCTTGGGTTCTGGGCAACCTGATTGGTTGGCTTCAAACCGGGTTCCCTTGGTCTCCTCCGGTAACCCATGTTGCACTCAACCTGATTCCCACCCAGGTGTTGTCTCTAAAAAATTGGGACCTTTGAAAGCCAGCGGTTTACTTTGGCCTCTTTGGTCCGATTGCATTCGGGGCCCATTCACTTGGGTTCCTCAGGACAATCCATTCAAAAGGGCGCCCAAGAAAAAAGCAGAACCATGTTGGGCTCCAAATCCCCAAATGCCACCCCTCCCTGTTTCGCACCAAAAACCAACGCAAAGCCGCGCCAAAGCGCCAAAGCGCCCCGCCTGGTAGGTCTCCTGGGGGCTGGCCACGACCGGCGTGGCCGGGGTGTAGGACCCCGCCTGTGCGTTCATTAAAGGCATTCGAGTCATTTAGTAAGATGCTCTTGGCCGGGCCAGCCGTCTGCTTCTGCTCGGAGTGAACAAGGACAACCACTGCTTCTTTTGCACTGGACTTGGTTCAATTCGCCACCTCATCTCACTGCTGGAGCCTCGGAAAAGTGGATGCCCCCCATCGAGGCGTAGGATTCCCTCTTTGAGGTTTACAATCGTGAAACCTTCTTTCCCGAAACTTCCACTTCTGGAACATAGCATGCCCATGGGGCTGCTTGGCCTCAAACCCACTTCGGCATCCCATGCTTAAGAATTTTCTCGCATCCCAATGTACGTCGAGCTGAATATACTGCCTCATTGGTCTGGCATCTTGGGGAGTCCCATGCCCATTGACCCGAAAAACTTTTGTGAGGCAACGCTATGGAGTCATGGAATATGTTGCTCGGACAGCAAAAGACCTAGCGGGACCATCGGGCGGTGCAACCGTTCAAGCCGCTCCGTCCTCCTCAAACGCGTCCTGCTGTTGATCGGTGCGAGAGAGTTTCTGGGAATAAAAAAGGAATGAGCCCAACTTCCATCCAACCGGTGGCAACTGGTGGCAACTGAATCCCCAAGCGCTTAGGTGAATTTCATAACCAACTCTTCCCAGGATCCAAAGTGGGCCATCCCTGATGGACAAGATCCACCTCGCGCCACTTGATGGTTTGTAAAAAATATAGGGGCTCATCCATCCATGCGAAGTGGATTTCGTCCACAATATGACTACTTTGTTCATTTGGCGTATACAAATATGGCAATTTGTTCACTTGCTTTGGTCATTAGAGGCAACTTCTTCAGCTTGTGCCATGGCCCTTCAACCCACATTTCCGATGACAATCCAGAAAATTGCCGAGGAATAGGGTGAGGTCTCAAATTGACCCATCATGACCCCAGATAAATAAACTCGTCGTATCATTGGGAGGGTGTTCCCTCCAAACTGATGAATCCCCACGTAGACCTGGCCCACCCCCAGGTTCATGGCCTCTTGACGAGTTGACTAATCCGGGTCAACATTCTGGGACTTGAGACCTGGGGTCAAATTCTCAGGGTCCCCGACAACTGGGGGTGAACATAAGCTTTCTTTTGGGCTCCATAGCTGGCCGTCTATTCTCACCATGCGACCCGGCCAAGCCCCCGACCCACCCCCGACCATCGCCTTGCGCACCGCGCGGGAGCGCTTGCGCTCGAAGGCGCGCACCGCACCCACGGCCACGCACATGGCGCCCATGGAGGCCGCCGCATACCTGCGAAACGGACAAGTTCTGTGCATTCCAAGGAAACCGAAACGAGCAAAAAAAATATCGGTTGTTCCCACGAAAAATGTGCGGGGCCAAAACGGCTGGTCAGGGAAAATCAAGTGTGCCGTTGCTGTTGGTTTTGTCCCGCTTGAGGCGGGATTTGTTTCGGCGGATTTGGCGCTTTGGCGGTGTTGTCCTGGTTCCTTTTGGTTGCCCTTGCAACCAACCAAAGGGTGGGCTTCGAAAGAGCGGCGAAGGATCAACTTGGTTTCCTTGAGTGTGGCTTCGTAAACCTTTCGAGGCCAAACTCATGGTAAGTCCCCGTTCCGCGGGGTTTTGTAACTAGGCTACTAACTTCCTACTCTGGTTCCGACAATCATGGAAGTGGACAACTGCGCCCTTGCACGAGGACTCTTGTCTTCCAAACCCCTTTCCCGCCATGGAAAGCTAACCTGACCACCGAGCGGGGGGGGGGGGGGTAGGTATCCTCAAAATGACCCTCTAAATAGTCAGTAGGGAATAGTAGGGATGTCCCACAGAACAAATAACTGTGAAGCCCCCGTTGGCCAATGCGCTTCCCCACCCCTGCCGGCCTCACCGAGGGGTCCGAGTCGGTGCCCACGAAGCTCTGCCCGCGCAGCGCGTGTGCCGAGGCCGACACGTCCGCCCGCACTTGGACCTCGCGTGCGGCGGACAAGGTGCTGGGGGCAACGAAGGCCGCCTGCATCATGGCTGACAAGGTCGGGGAGTCGGCGGAGTGCTTTGGGCCTGCAAAATGGCTGCGCCAGGGCTGAAGTTGAAGCCCTACATGGAACCCGAAGAAGCCATCTCGTTTTGGTCCTTTTCTTTGGACTCCCGTAGGCTTGTTCATTTTGCAGGGGAGGAGCCGCCCAAGGCCCAGGCTCGCTGTGCTCACCGTCCTCAGTCACCTGGGGAAAACAAACCCCAGAAGATCCATTTACCTGAACAACTGGGATTCAAGAAATTGGCGTACAAACCGATGCTGATTCAGAGCCATAGCAGAGCCATTTCAGCTTCAAGTTGAATTTCAGCAACTATAAATGGCATAAACCTCCTCTCTGTGATGGTTCTGAATTAGTATTGGAGGTTCTTTGGTCTCCTTTTAAGAAAACTACCAAGCAAAAAGGGTTGTGGGAGCAACACAAAGAAACCACCCCATCTGTGCAAATTGCTAGAAACCAGAAACCAACCGGAAACCTGGCACACCTCAAGTAAGGGACCTTTGTATGTGAGCTCGCTTTGCCCCAGGAGAGCGTGCTACAATTTCTCCAAAAGTGCAGATGTGTTCGTCCGCTAGCAATGTGCAACTTTGATAACGTGGACAACGGTAGAAATTCATGTGCAACCTTGACAACGTTCTCCAGCGCAACCGAGCCGAAAAAAAGGTTCTTTCTGGGGTTGTGACTTTTCTTGGGTGCTTTCTCGTGGGGGAAAGGAAAAAGAAACCACCAAAAGGAAACCAACCATTGGGGGGCCTTCCATGAAAGACACGCCCCACAAGCTGCGTCCGGCGTCCGGCCTTGGGCAGGAAGGGCGTCCGCAGGCCGGTGCGCGCCACCAGGACCCCGGCCTAAGGAGATCAGAGGATCAGAGAGCAAAAGCAACTTGCGATCGGTGCGTCCCTGAGGTAATGACCATTATCCATCCAACTGGTGGCAGCAGGGAATGAGAAATGGGATGCCCCGAATATAAACCATCCTGGTGGTGTTTCCTTTAAGGGACCGAAGAATGGGTTCATTCCCGCATTTCCTACCTATCGCATCAGCACGAGAAAGCTTTACGGGTCGAAATGGAAGGCTGCCGTTGTTCTGGGCAAGAAGTTACCTACGAATCAGGAAAGAAACTCCAGAACTTAAGAATGACAATGCAAGAACAAAGTAAGCAAGAAGGGGAACTTTCTCAACTATTCTCTGTGGCCAGTTGACGTTTGATGTTGGAAGTATAGGTGTCATCCAAAAGGATCACAACCATCCGTTGGCCCAGGAAAAACAAGGCCAGCGCGGTGAGACACAGAACTTAAGATCCATGACTGGGAGATTGCTGGAGCATGCCTGTGAGAGCACTGCCTTGCAATTTCGAGGTGTGCTGTGACAATCTTTGCGCAAGGCATGCCCTCCCACCAACAGGCTTGGAAAATAGTATTCTGTTTTTGTTGGTGGGAGGGTAAACCATGATCTTCCCCAAAAAAAAGAACGGGCAGCTCAGTCAGTCATGCACAGGCTGGTTGGTAGGATGCACAAGACATGTTGTTTTGGCTTCTTCTTCTTCATTTTCTCTGAAGAACAATACGCTAAAAGGCCGTGCCACCCAAAACGAAAAGAACAACCACCCCCCGACACACCTCCAGTTTTGGCGTCGGTCTTCCCCACAAAGGAGGGTGTACATGAACAAAGAGGACTTTGCGCCTGAGCCAAATTTGGTACTTCCTCCAATAATCAGAGAAGCTGGCAGGAAGGTGTGGGAAGCTACTGTGCTTTTGTTCATGTCCGCTTCCATGATTGTTGAAAAGAGGATACCTGTCGGTAAGCAGGCCTGAATTTTGTCAAGAAAGCACAAGGCATGTTTGCTTCAGATGCAGTGAGTCAGTCGGCCAGGCAGAAGGATTCGGTTCGCTGCCCTGAAGCGCACACTTGGCTTTCCCCGTTGCTTTGCAGAACTAGCCGAAAAACACGCATCTGACTCTGATGAGAATCCAACGACTCCGAACAAATTGTTCTAATTTTAGTACCTCTGCAAATTCACATGGAACCCAAAGAGGGGTCCCCCAAAGGATATTCGTCTACCAACGAAGATTCCGTGCACCAGCTGTATGCGATGTAAATTCACGTGTTACAAGCAGAAAACAAAACACGCGTAACAAGGGCGCTGCAGGAACATGCAACATTACCAGCAACATTACCCCCTCCACAAACATCTGCATACTATATATATATATGTATCTATATATTTATAGAGACATTCGTGTATAATAGTGGCGGTTCATGTTCTGTGTGCATAAAGGCTTTGGGCTGCTTTTCATACATCCCCTCTCTCCCGTAGGTGTCTAAGCCACCGGGCGCCTGAGGCCACTAACAAGCCGCCCAGCACCGGAGCCAGGCACGCCAGCATCTGAGTGCAAGGAGGATCAGAAATGGCCCCGGCGTCAGCGACCAGAACCGGGGAACCTGAAACTTTCACAAACTGGAGAACTGGCTCAACCCGCAAGGCGGTGCTGAAGTAGTCCCGAGTGAGGCCCAACTGGGGAAGTGGGGTTTTCCTGTGCTCCAAACAAAATCCGTTGCATGGGCCCTAGGTGAGCAAAATGTCTCGGGCAGTGCCACCTTGCCGCGGGTGCAGCGATCCTGTCTTAAGCAAAACGACTCGTGGCCGCCAAAATGATCCTCCGTCCGTCTGCCTCCCTTCTCTTTCATGGCAACACTTAGGGTGCGCAAACTCCTGTATAACGCAACACCCTCGTGGGTGTTGCTCATTGGCCACCCTTGCACATCATTTGGGGATGTGCATCTGACCGATGTTTGGCGGACAATGTTCCAAGCAAAAAGGGGAAAATCCCAGCCCACGCCCATCCATCCCCTCCCTGCGACTGGGGATCCCGGCCGCACGGCGCCAAGTGGTGAAGATCAACACCCCGCACCTCAGTGCCGGGCGACAAGGGCGGGGAGGGGGGCCTTTTCAGTGCCGTGGTATCCTGATCTCAAGTTTGTCAAGGTCCTTAGAGTTGGGCTGGGGTTCCACCCTTCCAACACATCGCCTTTTGAAAAGGGTTTCAGGCGGCTGCCTTTGTTTCTGAATCCTCGTTTTGGACCTGTGCGGCATAGTTCCGAAGAGGCCTGCACTTTGAGGGACCATGCATCTGACAACAACATAATAGCGAAGAAAACATAGATGTGAAATGCAACCCCTAAAAGTCCACATACCTTGTGCGAGTCATGTACCTTAGTGCGACCCAGCTGCGTTTGCCTTTTGCTAACTTTAAACATTCTCCCACCAAACTCACCTACGATCAACCCAAAAGGTCATATTTGACCCGCACTTCACGTGGACATATTGGAAGCCCTGAATGGGAGGTTGTTCTGCTCGGAGCTTTCGGCACCCTGGGCCTCCCCACGCAGCGCCCGAGAGGTACCTGAGCCGGGCTCAAGTGGCCATGAGTTTGTGTCTCCACTGACCGAGTTCGAGTCTGTCCGCAACAAGGAGACCCCAAATCGGAACAAGTTTGGTTGGCTCAAGGCTTTGGAGACCGTTTCAAGATGTTTTCCGCGGCAAGCAGACGGCAAGTGGCTGGAAAGGAAAGACCGTGAGATGGAGGGACACAGGTTTGCTCCATCGTGTTGGAGCCCGAAACCCAGGAATGTTGGTTTTACCAAAGTGGTTCAGGTGTGTCCGTGGCCCTGTAGCTCCATTTTGACCAGGAACCCGCCAAGATGGCCCTGATAATTATCCTGTCCGCATGGAAGGTCCGGGTTGATAGATTTCAGAGGCAGACCCAGCAAGCTCAATTGCCTGCTCAGAACACTCCTCTTTCTATGGGTCTTCAGATCAAGCAAGAAAAGGCGAGCAGAATTGATACAAGTGTTGGGATCAAGGTGGTGATGAAAACGAAAGAAAGCGACTCGTCGCTCAAATATGCTGCTCCAAGAGAAAGAACATGAGTGAGTTTCCAGGCTTCTTCAAGGCTTTCTAAGCCTCCCTGACACACCCCAGCAAGCCAAAGAAAAAACTTAAGGTTCCTTAGCGCTTCCTACCCTTTTTTTCTTGGACCCACCCACCCCCTGAGGGGTTCTCCCAGCAAGTCCCAGAGCCTCTGCCCTGCCGAGGAGCAAGACCATGGCTATGCCCGGCATGTGCACATCCAGGTCCCGCGCCCAAGCCTCATGTGAAGGACCAAACAGAAGGAACAAACTGCTTGCAGGGCCCCTCGCTAGTCTCTGGGAAACACCTCGTGGTTGGCAACCTTACTAAACCACGTGCCATTGCAAGTCTTGGCCAGGGCTACGTACCCGGCCCCTCTCTGCAAAGCCTTTTGCACAGATCCCCGCATCCCACGAAGTGCTTCACCCAACCTCTACCCTGAATCCTTCTCGCTTGCTTGCACTTGGCGAGTCTATGGAGAAGCGAAGGCTTGATTGGGAACCCGAAAAAAAGGCTTTTCGGGAACTTACTTGATACTGTTTGCCGAACATATGCTCAGGCACCACTTAGCCCGCCACGCTTGGAAATTCTGCTGATGCTTGAGACGATTATGACACATAAGAAACCATGTATGAGAATTGAGTGAAATCTTATTGAATCAGTACGTTGAGCAATTCTGACCATGTGGCTTTTCTGGATCACCTAGGTATGTTTGACATATGCAGCCGCGGAAACCCTCTTTTTGCCGAAATCCACACCAAAAGGATGTCTGAAATGAGAGAAACTCAAACTCGGCCAGCTTTTGGTTGCCCTGTAAAGCAACCCCACACAGGGTTCCCTCAACACTGAAAACTATCAGAAAGCACAAAGTAGCTGCATGCCCTTCTCAACAGCCAGTGACTTGCTATGCTGAACCAGAAATCTCTATCCACGAGCATTACGGGGTTGAACGACTGCAAGCTAGGTAGGGGAAAGCAAGTCGGGAGAGCCTCAAAGCATGGCATCTGACGGGTCCCTGTAGGAGAATCCAGGCGAGCCCTGAAAGAGGCTACAAAAAAACTATCGGGGCATGGGCTTGGCCAAGAGGGGAAAACTCCAAAATCTGCCGAAGCCTTTGTTTTCAAATTGGGCCTTTGAAGGCGTGCGAAAGAAAGAAAAAAAGAAAGAAAGAAAGAAAGAAAGAAAGAATGAATGAATGAATGAATGAAAGAAAGAAAGAAAGAATGAAAGAAAGAAAGAAAGAAATAAAGAAAAAGCACCCTTTGGTGGAGATCAAACATTTTGGGTGGAATGTTCGTCCCTTCCACCTTGGAGGGTTCCGCTCCCCCATTGAAAAAAGTTGCGTCAAATCAAGCCCGCGGGCCAGATTCCGGGTCGCCGGACCCCAAGGCCATATGCCACTGCAAACCCGCTGCACGAGCCCAACCTGCACAGTCGCTTCAACAGAGACCGATGGAGAAGTGGAAAAAGAAAATGAAGGTCCTCCCGCCCTGGCCATGGACACTTATACTACCCAAAAGAAAATCAGATCAAAATAGACTCGATGTCTTTTAATCCAGAGGCCCCCAGCCTAGCCCCTGATGTCCCCTATGTGTAATGAGCAGAAAGAGGTGTTCGATGCAGGGCAACCACGGACGCCAGGGCCTTTCGGGGTTCTTACGTGGTTGACCACTTAGTTGCTCGTCGCAGGCAGTTCATCCTGAACAAATGGCTTCCTCAGTTGCATTTTCGTGCCACAGCTCACGCCATGAAGCGCGCTTGCACCAACCGCTGAATTGGAAAAGCATAGGCCCATAGCCCCTCCTTCTCAATAGATGTTCTCTTCTTTTCGCTTTTGTCTTTGTTGGCTTTCTTTGTCCAGGGGGCGAGGGGGATAATATCGCTGGAGCATTCCACAGTTCACCCAGATGCTTTGTCATGCGTGCTCATGGGTGCCGTAGATTAACCTTAACATGCAAAAGTCTTCTTGGGCTTGGGGCGCCTGGGAATGACCCTACTTGTGGGGAATGGTTCAGGTTCATTCCCATATTCCCTTCTGCCAAAGAGCAAGCTATACGAACCAGTACTGGGCATGGCCAGCACGTTTGGGTCGCACGTTGCGAGCCGTCGAAGATGAACAGTGCTGAAGGTGAACGTCACCAGCTCGGAGACATGCGAGCTGCTAGGTGAATCCTTGAGTTTGCCGGCTCCAGGTCGTCGGCCTGCGTGCACCTCTGCCACCTATCACTCTGGCACGTGGGTACTCCTCAACATTGGAAGGGATCATCTGGTTTGAGCCAATCTGCATGTGAGCCCTGGACATTCGTACGAAGGTTTCCCTCAGAGGACAGAGGAAATGGTGTGGGACTCCCTCGTTTTTGTGCGGCGAAATTTAGCCCTGATCCCCAGGAGAAAAACAAAGTTCGGGTTCAACAGTTCAACAGCATGTGCCATTGTTTAAACTCCTTGCATTTGTTATCAACCCTATAGTAAAAGGGCATACAAAAAATAGACACGCGAGTCATAGTCAAAACCCGGTATTAAAATGGTCTACCCAGCACCATGTTAAAAACTAACAAGGCGGATATCCCCACCATTTATGGTTGGGATCGTCCCTTTCTAGCCTTCATCTACCCGGGTTTTGAGGACGTGGCTCACGCCCACATGCAACCCGAGTCTGGGGCCGCTGCAGCACCTGACTACCCTCGAAGCCCCAGTACACCGCCAGCCCCACCGTCACCGCCGCCTGGAGCCGCGTCTGTCCACATCTACACGCGCACGCGCGCGCGACGCGCGCGTTTGAGAGCGCGTCCGTCCGCTGGGCCCAGCACGGCCTTCCAGGGGGCAACGTCCAACCATTCTGAACCTGAGGGTCTTTCCAACCCGAAACCTGAGGAGTTTGCTGCTTTCAGATTGAAAGCCTAGACTTGTGTGTAGGGTCCACGCAAGTGCCATCCTCCATATTAGACTCCAAAGTATTTGTATTCAAGTATGTGCGTGAACATACAAACCGCCAGGACCCAAAGAAGTCTGGGTATCCCCTCAAGCTCACTCTAAGGGACCCGGGGTTCCCAAAATCACCTTTCGGAGGAAATGTCATTCAAACCACATGTAGGAGAGTGACTTTTTCGGCTGTCAATTTATGAATTGAGTGGGGCCTGCTCTTGTGGAAATGACCAGGTGAACGCACTTGCTATGGGGAACAGCGCCAGCACTCTGTTCATGCGAAATGAGCTAGGTGGAAGTTTCTTTCACTGGCTACAGGAGAGTTTGCGTTGGGTGGCAAAAAACGCTTCTTTCAGCGCCTCAGCAGGTTCTGGCAGTAAATGGGAACCCAGGGTGAAAAGCCCTGGCTGATAAAAAGAAGGTTCCTTCTTCTGCCCCAACCCAATAGACCTTCAGCACTACGCACTAAGATCGCTATGGAGATTCCTGGATGACCCCCTACCATCATTCCGGTTGATGCATCCAAAAATCGGGCATGGACAGGACCGTTTTCCTAGATCCAAGGAAAGCGCCTTGTGAAACTCAAGGTCACTGCCCAACCCATTGGCCTTGCAACTCGTAATTTCATTGGCCCTGCTACGGTTGATTCCCCAAATTGTGTAACCCAGGAGAAAGAGGACCACGGGTACCCCGCCGTGGCTTTGCGGCCGCGCATTGAAAAAATTGGGGGCTCAACAGAGGTGCAACTCTGCGCCAGGCCGGCGCAGCAACTCTCAAGTTGCGTAGTTGCATTTTGCCTGGGTGTTGTGGTGGCAAAGGAGCTGAGAAGCAGAGGTCAGATCAGCGGCAGAATTCTGAACTTCAGGAAAACGGTCGAAAAGCTGAGTTCAAAGGCATCAGGCCTGAAATCAAGAGGTCAATGGAGGGGCTGGCAGCGGGTTGACTCACCTGCCAACCGTTTGGGACCTCGACAAGTGGGCGAGACAGGGAAACTCAAAAGGTGAAAGGTCAATTTGCTTTGGACGAACGAGTTGATCCACAATGATGCAGTTGACCCCATGGCGCTGAATCCCAGTTGGCGATGGATCATGAATTACGATTCACGAACCAAAAGACTTGCATGGGTGGAATCGCTCGGGATCTCCGTGATCGATCAGAGGATCCATTGAAGTTTGCTCAAACCTCTCTCCACATCCGATTCCCGGGGGATCTGCGCGCCAAGACAGGGCTTCCCGGAACCCCTCCCTGATGCCCATGGAACGCATAGACTCATACCCCAGCCTGACACATCAGCGTGCCCACGGAGAAAACGCCCAGGCTCTGAGCCTCTGCCTCGAGAACGGATCCAAGGGAAGGTGAGTCGCAATCAAAACCCGGTATTGAAATGGTTGACCCAGAACCATGCAAGGAAATACAAAGGCGGATATCCGCAACTATTTATGGCTGGGATTGTCCCTTCCTAACCTTCATCTACCCGGGAATTTTGAGGACGTGGCTCAGGCGAGAAACGCGGGACGGAAACCTCGACTCCATGGATGTGTCAACAGGCCCCAAAAAGGGGCCAGTCGTCATGATCTTGCACCCTGCCGGGCAAGGACGAAAGCGGGGTGCCAAAGCCCCACTGCTTTGACTAGCGCCCAAATTTAGGCTGTTCTTGTGCTTGCTGAAATACAAAAAGCTGATGCCAAGCAGGTCCCCCTTCCATCCCTTTCCACCTGACCAGCGTCCAAAAACCCGCTGACTTTGGGTTATACAGGCTTACAAAGGCCTTACTGTAGCCTTTGTGAAACCAGGTTAGTAGAACCTGCCAAAATGGACCTTCATTCTGGCACTCGCCTTGAAGCTGACGGCTGTTCGGAGAGCTGCTTCTATTGCGACTGACCCCAACCCAACACTCCAAAACCAGCTCAATACCAGGCGAAACCAGCCTAACAATGACCCTAAAGCAAAACTCGACGAAAACGAGCCATCAACCAACCCACAAAAATTGAGCGCCGATTCAGGCCAAACCGATCTCCCCAAACCCTGCCTAGACCAATCCAAACCAACACAATACCGAACCAAGCCCGGCTCTGACTGGACTCCTAAACTGCCAGAAGCCCAAAACCAAAACTTGCCGACCAACCCGCTCAGCCACCCACGACTCATGCCCAAACAGCAGCGCCTCGTAGCAAGCCATGGCCGCTGCAACAGAGGACCTCAGCTCGGCTCAGCGCCCTAGGCCCCGGGTGCTCTTGTCTCAGGGATTGAAGTTGGTCCAGAAAGGAACTCAAAAGGCCCCAATACTAATTTGCATAGCTTGGTCACTGTTTTGAGGTTGAGCAACGTTGCAAAAGGAAAACTCTTGCAGTCACAATGGTCGGGTTGAAGGCACGTGTGGTTATGTGGATCCGTCGTCTGTGCCATGCATGGGTTTGATGTGGGCGGAGGAGTTACGGGGTTGGGTGGTTGGGTGGTTGGGTGGTTGGGTGGTTGGGTGGTTGGGTGGTTGGGTGGTTGGGTGGTTGGGTGGTTGGGTGGTTGGGTGGTTGGGTGGTTGGGTGGTTGGGTGGTTGGGTGGTTGGGTGGTTGGGTGGTTGGGTGGTTGGGTGGTTGGGTGGTTGGGTGGTTGGGTGGTTGGGTGGTTGGGTGGTTGGGTGGTTGGGTGGTTCGGGGAGTGGCAATGGTGGTTGGAGTCGAAAGGACTTTGATGGGCTGATTGCGTCAAACATGTTTTGGTTCGATAGGTAGGGGATTTGATGTACCGACAAGCAACCCAATAGGTGGGAGCTGAATCTAGACTAGCTTCGCTGGAAAGGCCTAAAGCTGGTTTTGAAGTGGCCGCAGATTGGTTTGCAGATAGGATGGCTTGGGGGTTGTGAGGAGGTTCGGATGGATATAGTAAGCCTGGCGTTCTTCAGTCGCCTTCCTCCTTTTTTCGTCCGTCCCGCAAGTAGAGGGGCTGACCAAACCAAAGTGAGGGAAATTGTGCCATCTACTTTCAACCAACTATAATTGTCCCCACTCTTGGCAATCAGTTCATGAGGGCCCCGCCTGGTTGCACATGATTTTCCATATCCATGGAAACCATGGGAATTGCACAAAACCAAGTGGGAGAATTGTTCGCCCACCCTTTTTCCCTCCCTGCAGCTTCCGGGTTGGTAGTTGAAGGAACACTAAAAACAGTCCGTCATGTATAAGTTTCCCCTGTCTTGACACACCCATTTATACAGGGCCCCCCCCTTTCCTTGGGGCTCCAAAGAGCGTCCCACAAAGGGAAACGTCTAAGCGATCCCAACCCTTCTGGGAGCTTCCCTTTGGTTTGTCCTTTTCAGAAAACCCCCGTGTTTTCTTTCTGGAAACCTTTGAAAGCTTCCCTTTCTCTTGTCCTTTTCAGACAACCCCCCGTGCTCGTTTTGTTTTTGTCTTGTCGGCTTTTCCCGAAAAATGGAGAAAAAAAAACTGAAGAACAAAAAAAACAAAAAAACAGACGTGTTGTGTGTTTGTTGTTTCTGGTTTATTGTTGTCTTTTCCTGACAAACAAACCAAAAAAAACGGAAGCGCCGCGAGCCCAACGGATCCGGTCGTCTATGGGCGTCCCCCTTGGTCCAAGCCGCAGCGCCAGCGTGAAGAGCAGCTGCCACACCTGGGGCCCGTCCTGGGATTCGCTCGGCTGGGAATCGGTGTTCGGGTTTCCGGGTCCGGCAAACGGGTCTGGGTCTGGGATGTTCTGAAGCTACGTGGGTTTTCTTGGAAGGGATTGGAGGGAGGGATGGATGGATGGGTGGTTGGGTGGTTGGGTGGTTGGGTGGTTGGGTGGTTGGGTGGTTGGGTGGTTGGGTGGTTGGGTGGTTGGGTGGTTGGGTGGTTGGGTGGTTGGGTGGTTGGATGGATGGATGGATGGATGGATGGATGGATGGATGGATGATGGTTGGTTGGTTGGTTAGTTGGTTGGGTTGGTTGGTTGGGTTGGTTGGTTGGTTGATTGGTTGGTTGGTTCGAAGGGAAACAAAAGGCAACTGAGACCCGCCCCTCACGGCAAACAACCAAAAATCGGCATCTGGGGGATTCATGAGGCAAAGGCCAGGGTTGGGCCAACCCCTTGTTTGAAACATGCTTTCAGCCACTATTGTTGAAGGGAAACCTCCTGTTCCCTTTAAACGGAAGCAGCACTGCCTCTGCTTCCCCACCAAACTGGATGCCCATTGTGGATTGTTTAAAGGAACCGCCGTCTCAAGCCCAAGAAAGCGCTTTGACCAATGCCACATGTGAAGCTTTCGTTGACACCGAGGCGTGAAACAACCATGCGACATGATGGACAATTGGATCTTGAGTGTGAGTGAGCACAAGCCCTGCAAAGGCATGACGTATGTTACGCTATGCTGTACTTCTTCCATGCGGTTATGTGCAATTCAAAATTTGAAAGCTGTCTGGTGATCCCGTTGAAAAAGAAGGATCAGAAACGCAGGTCACCCCATTTCATTTGTTGCATCCAGCGTTCGTCTCTGATGCGCAAGCTGATGACTGATACCAATCCAAACTCCCTCCCAAAAACCATGCTTGTGAGAAATGACCTTTTCTGTAATACACACAAGTAGCCCCGACTGTTCCACTGCCATGAAAAAATAACCTTCACAGTCGGACTCGGAAGTTCATACCTCGACAGGGCCACCTTTTGAGGTTAACGGACGCCAAATACAAATTGCAAGCCACTCGCGTGTGTCTGGGCTGCCCGGCCCAAGTGAGGCATACGCCCACAATCAGGGACCCAGCAGCCACCCAGCACTGGCAGGAAGGGTTGTTAAGCCTCGGACAGCCGCCGATCCCCTTAGTTTGTGCGGCAAGAACATTGTTGAGTGTGCATACAGGTCTCTCTCTCTCTCTCTCTCTTTCACCAGACAGTATCGTATTCTGGGTGCTTCTCCACATATACACCTTGTTGTTTTCCTTCACAACCTAAACAATCGGATATGGGTCCAAATCTCAATTGGTCCTCTTATTTTGAAACATCATTCCACCGAAGAAAATCTCAAACAATCTTGGCCACCAAAAAAAGCATGGAAACATGGAGAGGGGGGTTCTCAAGATCTCAAAAATCGTGATCCCGAAAATTGTCTGGCTGCATTCCCTTTGGTTGCCAGCCAAAAGGGGTCCATTCTGAGAAACCCTCATGTCACCCTGTCTAAACCACCCACAAGGGGCAGTTTCGAGCTTGGTCCCGGGGCCACTCGTGGAAGCTCTTGGTGTAGGCGACAAAGGGCGAGTTCTCGGAACCTGAGAGTTCTCACCCAACCACAGGTTTGGGGACCGGCCACACGTCGGCAGCGATGGCACATCCATCCCTTGCAATTTTTGGGGCGCTATGAAGCATCCCGGAGGGTGCCTGAAACAAACCTCAGAAGACACGGACATTGGAAAAATCAAAGCTACCTCCCAAAGGTTCATGTTGGTGGGACCGTGCCGCTTCACCTCAAAATAGGGGGAGATTGGGTGGTCCCGTCATGTTCTGCCCAAATGACACATGGGACTGCCAGCAGCATTGTCGGCTGCTCATTCCCAAGCCCCTTACCTCGAAAAATGCCTACATGTCGGATGCAGACGCCTTCAGGAACAAAGTGGAAACCAGTCGTTTCTCAATTGGCTGCTCGTTTATATGAGCCCCGCACGAAAAGTACTTGTTTGCCCAAGGCGACATTGGTAATTTGGGCTGTCCTCCTGGCTATTGTGAGAAATTGATTTGCCACCCCATGTCTTCCTAAAAGCAACGGTAAAACAACAATCATATTGTCAAAGGATCCCTCCACAATGGGCTGGTTTTCTGTTCAACTCAAAAAGTGCTGTGAAGACAGAATCATATTGGACGATTCTCAAAATAGACACCTTCTGGTGATTAATGTCTTTCTGAGATTTCCCTCAAGCTCCCAAAACATGTACCTTCACAAAGGATACCGTCCGCATTGGGGTCTGAATCTCAGTTGGTTGGATGCTTGGAATCATAAAAACCCATAAACCCATCGCAATCAGCGCACTTCAGGGCTGTGGCCCGTGAGATTCACCAGGTTCCCGCCTTGCGGAGTGGGCAGGGTACCCCCGGCCACTGTACCCCCTGGAAAAACACCCGTTTGGGCTCTTTGAGGGTACCCTTTTTAGATGGGGGCCTTGCGATTTTTCCCACATGCCCATTGATCCCCGCTAAGTTGTGCTGCTACATTGGGATGCGGGCATGTGCTGAAATTGCGTCTAAACAGGCATTTGGAGCACCAAAATTGTACTGGAAACAATACCAAGCCACCGAAAAGCACACACCCAGCTCCACCTCTCCAAACAGTCCAAATGGTGAGCCTTCCGCTTCCAAGCAGGGAAATGATCATTGAAGCCTGGGACACACATGGGCTCTTGTTGAGGGACGAAATCTTGCAGTGCTCGGAACGGATTCACAGGAGACGGGCTCTGTCGTCTCCGAGTCACAACATCGCGTTGACCGTGCTCCAACAAGCAGGGAAATTGCTGTGCAAGGATTGCCCACAAACGTCCAAGATGAAGGGACACGGCCATGGTATCATCGCAAGCGAGATCCCCAAAGTCGCATTTGCCACAACTATGTTGCCTTTCACCTCTCAGTTACCAGAGCAGAAACTTGCACATTTTCCAGTTCTTTGAGCAATCACCTTCCTACAAATGACAGGGTGGAAACAGATGCCATCAGCACTTGTTCTCCTAACACATGATGGTAGTGTTCAACTGCGACAGCCACACCGATGTTGGACATACTGCCGAGGGCCAAAGCCCCTTCAGGGCCGATGCTCTTGTTGCGCATGGAGATGCATGAGGGCTTTGCACCTTTGGTGGTTTGAAAGCCAAGACGACCGCCTTCATAGCAAAGGACTGGGTGCATTGAAGTGCCACCCTCAAAATTACCTCACGCGGTACATTCAAGGGAATCAACCCCCGGCAATCAAATGGGGGTTGATCAAAAGGTCCTAAACATGGGATACCATTGTAGAAAACCACTAGAAAGAAGATGCAATTTCCCGCTAAACTGGGGAAAAGTTACCCATGGCCATTTGGGGGCCAGGAATATTGATCCACCTCCAAATGTGAACCCTCTGTTTGTTGCAGGCTGGTTTCTGGTGGTCTTAAAGTGGAGCCAGAAGAACAACCACCTTTTCATAAGCCCCCATAAGCCCCCGTATTTTAAGGCTCACTCAGACTCCCAGATGCGATGCGCTCCCGGCGAATGGCGAGGGCCGCCAGTCCAAGGGACCCAAGAGGCTTCCCGTTGGGGCTGCTGCAAGACTCGTGCAGCAAGTCCAGGTCCCATCCCGAGGCCTGGGCCAAGGGGCCGGTGCTTGCCGAATGAGGTGCCCAGTGAGCAAAGAGTCGGGGCTTCATCCAGCCGCAAAGTGGACCTCGATCCACCGTACGTCCCCGGCAAACATCAGCCCGAAAAGCAAACTGGGCTGAGAATCGGGATCCACGTGCGATCCTGTTGCTGGAGGGAAAGGCGTGACTTGATACGGCAGAGGTGCTTCTCGCTGGTAAACTTGCTAGTTCGAATGCTTTGCCTGGATTACTCAAATGACCTGTAGCGCGTCTCGCTGCGCCCAATCGAAAGTGTCCACTGAAACTCAAGCAAGAAGCCAAATGGCATTTTGAGCCGCCTTTAAAGGAAAGAGTCACCATCTTGTCAACACGCCCAGACACACACACACACTTGAACTCCAGATGGAGAGTGCTAATCTTTCGAGTACAACTGATGAGTCTCGAGTACAACTGGTGAGTCTCGAGTAGGTGTAGGCTCTGCTCGCAATGCACTCGGTTTCCCTTTAGTGTCGAAACCGTTACGAAATTCAACATGAAGCACTTTGAATCACACGAGTCGCGCAGGTACGCGGAGTTGATCAGACTCCGTATCCTAGGAGCTTGCAAAGAGCTTCGTTGGGCAGAGCTTTGCAAGTCCTCTCTGCCCCCCTGCTGATAAACCGAAAGGGTGGTGACAGGGCATTCTGTCACTCCGCACACACACGCCCCTCAATGAGGGGCGAGGAGTCACTTTTTCCGAAGGAAGATCACATGCTCAACCCCGTGTCCCTATCGTTGACCAAAAATTCCACCGCGGCGAGGGGAACGAGAAACAGCCCTAAACCGCTCAGAAGACGGGAACGAAAGGTCACCACGTTGAGCATTACGAGTGTCGCCATAGAGGACTGAAGTGAGTTGTGCAGCAGTCGAGCGATCACCATGAGAAAACGGAGTGGCATAGGTGAACGTCTCCTCAACTGGAATTACATCGGAATTCCGCACATTTCCAAGTGATGGATCTGGGGCATGATGTGTAGTGAAGGACTCCCTTCGAGACAGAATGCGTTGGTATCCTTGATGCTGCCAGTCGCGAATCGTCCATGCCTGACCGTGTTCACCAGTCCCACCACTGGGATCAGTTACCCGCTGCCACTCCCGAAAAGAGTTGTCTGGTAGTTCAGGTACGGTTTCACCGGGTTGCCATAGCTGAGGCTGTCCTGGAGTGTAGATCCGCACCCACTCCTGATCCTGCCAGACCGAGTATTCGAGCCATGGGTGCTGCTTCGAATCCTCGATGTCCATGTCGAAGTGAGAGGCAAAGCGTATCGCGGGCTCCGATCCAGCTGATAAAGGAACATGCACAATGCACAACCATGTACAAGCAACAACCAAGCAAGGTGATGCAAGCGTCAAAACCACCCCTATTTTGTCCGCTACCCCACTCGCGTGCATCTAGTCCTCATTTAGCTCGAAGATAGGTTTCGCCTTGGCTTTGCAGCTGTCGGAGGAATTAACAGGCCGGTATGGTTCAGAGATCCCCACCGTCTCTGATGGTGCAACTCCCCGTGATGCACGTACAGGTTGATGAAGTTGGGAAGCGTGATGCGCACGAGTCGTCAGCTGCTGAGAAATCCCTTCTTGGAGGCGAGTGAGCTCTTCGGTAGAAAAATCCGCCGCATCCGAGGATCTAAGGATCGCGTCCAACAACTGCGGTGACATACTCAATGGTGTGGATTGCGTGGCCACGCTGTGTTGATCAGGAAAAGACATAGAATCAAAGTCATGACCTGCTTGAGGGGCGGCGACTCTCCGATAGCCCTCTGTGGCCCAGTCTCTTTTGTACCACTTGGTGACATTGAGCTGTCCACCGTCTTGGTGCGGGCTGTGATCATAGAACTCCTTCCACTCTCGATACGTGTGCGGAGGAGGTGGAGCATCATGTTCTTCATGTGGAGTCCATGATCCCGGATGAAAGATCTTGACCCACTGGGCATCTGGTTGTTGAGGATCCGGACACCATTCCAGCCACGCCATGACACCGCAAACCCGGAAAGACAACTTGATATGTGTACGGCTTCAGACAACAATTGCTGAAAGAGACACAACTGCCACAGTGCAAGAAATCACTTTTGCAGCAATGCACGGCTCCGAAATCGAAGTCAATCTCCCGCATTTAATTGAACTGAACAGACTCCCCAGGACTGCGAAAACGAGCATCAGCCACCATCCGAGTTGGAGGATGCCGATGAAGAGGTCAAACCAGCGTACATGAGGTCCGGTGCGCCCGAAACGAAAACTGGCCGCGCAATGCTGGGATGTGGGCGACCCAGCCGTTGGTATCCCCTGGTGACCCAGTCTCTATAATACCAAGTATAGAAGGATGCATAAGACACCGGCTGCTAAACCGCACCTGTATTGGTGCCGCCTGTGCTATCCCTCGGCCAATACACCTCGAAGTGGAAAACCTTACGCCATTCCCGATAGGTGGTTGTGTCATCCGGGGCTGGTCCCAAGGTGTTCTCGGCGACTGGATGCCACGGACCGGGAACATAGATCCGAACCACTCTCGTATTCGCGGGGCCATTGACGATGTCGTAGTCAAAGTAGCGAGGTAGGACCCATCGTGCTGCGCCATACATTGTACAATTGAACATATCAACCAGGCAAACCGCTCAGAGTCAAATGAGAGCGGCAAACAGCTGAAGGCGGGACACACAACACCAAGCAAGACAACCCAACATGGAATCGCATGCAAAGCAAGCACAACCGCGTCAATTTATCCGACAAGTTGCTCCAGTATCAGCCCGACTCGTTCCAAGGATCATAGAATGGTGGTGGTGACGGTTCACGCCATGCCCCATCCGGAACCGATGAGTCCGCCGAGGAATTGTCGTCTGCATTCACGAGCATCACGAGACCAATGGCTGGTACAGGAGCTCCAAGTCGTTGATACCCTCGTGTTTGCCAGTCTC